AAACAAAATCAACCAACCAACAATATCTTTTTATAGTATATACTAGCAGCATGGCCCGGCGTTGCCCATGCTTGATTCAAAAATCGTACAACTCATACAGCAATCGCTATCACTTGACTTAAAATATTTTTGCCCTTCCTTGCCTTTAAAGGAGTGCCCTTTGTCGTGCTGATGTTGCTACATGCCTTACTTCTTGCCTATCTCACAATGCAAATTTTTTCTAAGCTCTATACTAAACATTAAATCTGTTACGAAAAAAGAACTAAACAAAATGAACTGCTTTGAAAAAAGAATGCTAACAACAAATACTTTTTCACACCCAACCCAGTTCTGTGGAATCAGAATCAATGTTGAGTTTAAGCAAGCAAATGTGCCAATTGGAGTAAAGTGCCATGCAGATTTAAATTTTTCCCACTTGTGACGAATGCAGCTATCGATTTTTTTTTTGCGTGCTAGCATGCTAATTAATATTCGTGTCAGTCAGGTGTTGGCTCTCATACTGACCAATAGAATCTTCCTGCCTATTTGTGGCAGCATGCTATTGGCTCTCACTCTGGCCAGTAGAAAATGGCCGCAAACTACATGAAAAGTGCCGTAGAAGCATGAAAAAATCAATTATTTCCACTATCGAGGGGAGTTGGGAAATGCAAAGTCAGTCTTGGCCTTTCCACTAACTTGGAGCATGTGCATGTAAATTTTGGTGCAAATCTGCCAAAAATTGCAGCTGTGCATTCGTTACACACACACACGCACACATCCTGCCTTTTATATATATATATATATATATACACACACACACACACACACACACGCACACACTGTTTACATCGTTCAGACTGTTGTCCTCATCTTTATTGTCATATTCACAATGTTTCAGCCATTGTACGCTCTGACCTTATTCAGGTGATATATATTGAAATTTCAAACTGAATCCTTTATTTTGTCCATGGGGGTAGATTATTCTAATTACATATGGCATGCCTTTTGGGGATATCTTAATATCAGTTAATTCCCTTTTTAACTCAACTCTCCAAGTTTTTGTTACCACTGCTGTGGCCAAGTATTGAACTTTCACCTCTTTGGGTCAAGTTACTTTTTGGATTACTCAACCAACTAATTAAAGGATTTGATTTGAAATTACAATGTATATCACCTGAAAAAGGTCTGAGTGTACAACAGCTGAAACATCATAAATATGGCAATAAAGATGATGACAATACCTCATCTCAGGATATATATATATATATATATATATATATATATATATATATATATATATATATAAAATACTCCATGCCGACAGTATGATTTTAAGCATGGCTATTATGTATATTTATTAATATATACTTAAATATTTGATAGTTGTTATTTAAATTTGAGCATGGTTTTCTTACACCAAAAGATACATGAACACTTACATGTACATTTATTTATATTTATCAATTTGAAAAAAAAAAAAAAAAAATATATATATATATATATATATATATATATATATGAAGAGAAAATAGAGCCTTGCTGAACTGTTATGCTCTCTGTAACTGAGGTAAAACATTGGTTTCTCCTACAAAGGGAGATGCAGGTTCAATCCCTGCTGGAGAGTACATTTTCTTTATGAAAATTTCTTTAATGCACTAGTTGGTTGATATAATACACACTGTTTATAATAAAAACAAATGTGGCATTAAATTCAAATATGAGTATCCAAAATAAAAATATTTTAAGTTTTATATATATATATATATATATATATATATATATATTATATATATATATATATATATATATAATTATTTATTTAAAAATGATTCCATCGCTACATAAGAGTTCTCATGTTTCAAAACAAGAGCCAAAAACTTCAATATAATTATTTTAATTAAATTGAATTAAAGTACCAAGCTCTGTTCCATCTTCAAGCAAAATTTTTGGAATAACTAATTCTTGAAATTTATGCGTTTTTATAAGCATATTCATTATTAAAATTAAAATTACTATGGTAACAGCTAGAGTAATTATTTAAAAAAGTGGTATATCAATATCTCAGTTACATTCAAAGAGGTCAAGTCAGGGTAAGGTTGGGGTGTCTAAATTTAAAGTGGAAGATGACATCATCTAGTCTGGTTAAGTGTTTATTTTTTTATTTTATTTTATTTCCTGAAAGAGTTTTGTGTATATAAAACTGTCATAATTAGCTAACATTTGTTGTTTTTGATGACTTCATAAAGGGATTTTTATTATTATTGGTTAGGGCTTTTAAACTTTTTATTTAGGCTATGGAATTTAAAATTTGTATTTATTATTTAATTGTTTGTTTGTTTTTTATGCTAATTATTCAATGCAAAAATTTGATGATGTCAGCAAAAAACTGTTAACTCATGTCTGTTGTTTAATAAATTTCCATTATTTAGAAACTTTGATAATGTGTAGTTTTTCATGTAGGCATAAAGGGCATGGGTCATCCCAAGTTTTACAAGTTCTAGTTTTGTTTATAATTTTCCATTTTACTTTTGGTGTTTTATTCATTTCCTTCAAATGCCAAAAATATTTAGATAGACATGTCTGATTTCTATTATTAATATTGTTGAAGAAGCTTTTATGCTGTCTCCACCTGGTTTTAAATTCATTCTTCGTAGACCCAATGTATATCATATTAGTATTAGGACTCTCAATGGATGAGATAGTACATTGGTATACCACAGATTTTATGCGGCGTATATTTTCTAATGGGCAGTCTTCTGGATTTCTACAATCACATAATTTTTCACTATTTTTGTCTAATTTAAGTTTAGGGCTTTTATTAATACTATTCTGACATGGGGGTATATTCAGGATTTTATTATTGTGTTTTTTTATTATACTTTCTAGATTTTCAGTGCAACTGTAACTTAATTTTAAGGTGTTTTTATTAAAGATTTTCCTAAGTCTGCTATTTGTAGGAAAGTGTTTTTCAATTAAAGCTAGGAATTTATGTCCTAGCTTAATACTAACCATTTCGTTGAACGAAGAGGTATACCAAATGATTTTTCTTTTTCTGTTTTTCTTCTGGTTAGTACAATTGTTTCTATAATTGACGTTAGCATTTTTGTATCCGCTATTTTTTAGGGCTGCATTATAAAAATTACTGTGTTGTTGGAATATTTCTTTATTAGCGGAGTTGATGCTGATTCTATTCTCTATTGATGAGGGTATATGTGTCAAGTTTTGATAATATAATAATTTTTTAAAATAAAATATACTTACGACGGACCCTTTGCAAATGGCTAATGAAAATGACTAATCTTAGTCAACAACTTTGAAAATATTGAACCTCATTCAGTCAGTCAGTTATGTCCCATACGTGATACATGTTTAGGCAATCATGTAACTTTCAATACATGACTGATGAGGCAGATTTATTTTCCGCAGCAGGTTGCTATTTCTTTCTGCAGTAGACCAGTTGCCATCCAAGGCTATAGAACCCATTCTGTCCTGCTATTTACCCATAGATGGCAGGAGAGAAGAAGAGGATTCATACCTTTCCCAAGAGTATTAGCATGTAAGTGAATGTAATGGATTTGACTGGAATTAAAAAACTCGGCTTTCCAATTCCTCAATCAGTTATATGCCATGTGTGATACACGCTTAGGCGATCATGTAACTTTCCATACATGACTGACGAGGCAGATTTTTTTTTTTCTGCAATAGGTTGCCATTTCTTTTTGCAGCAGATCAGTTGCCATCCAAAGCTTTAGAACCCAGTTTGTCCTGCTATTTACCCATAGCTGGGGTGAGGAAGAAGAGGATTCATACCTTTCCCAAGTAAATGTAATGGCTTTAACTGGAATTTGAACTCGGCTCTCCAATTCCTAAATCTGAGTTGTTATCCATTACTCCGCCATACTCTTACATACTTGGATGCAAAACTGTCAGGTTTTCTGAACAAAAGGCAATTATTTAACTTTTGTCCTTTCTTATGTAAATTTCATTAAAATCCAATTGTCGATTTTTTAAAATTGAATTCATTTTTGACATAAAATTTTTTAATATCAATTATTATAGTTATTTTCTTTACAAGTAAACAATTTTTCACAATCATTTCCAGTTCAATAAAATATATGCAGATAAATTTTACATCAAAAGTTTTGCCAGTTATCTTATAAATGGAACAAAGATTTTGATCATAAAATTTACTTTTATACAAGTTATGGTTTTCTTTCTTCATATGTCAAAATTTGTATTTTATTTATTTGCACAAGCGAAAAAAATCTGTAATTAGCAATTAATAAACTTGGACTATCATGGGTATGACGATAAACTACATCTGGCAGCAAGGCCTCTGAATGGCATGAAACCACCTCTTATTTGTTGTTGTTTCCATGTACACCCTGTGTGTGGTAGCACCTGTTAGGGTCCCAGCTATGAGCAAATAGTTAATCCCCAAAATGGGGTCAAAACATTATGAAAGTATAAAAAAAAATTATTGTGAAAATACCTGCAATACATTTTTGTAAAAGTAATTATTAATGCTCAAGAAAATTGAATTTCAGCATTAAATGACCCATAAGGATGTTGATATGCCACTGAACAAACAACCTGGAATTATCTCCTTTGGGCAGATTTTTTTCTGTCAGTTTATTAAAAATTACTTGGAATGTTGTAGCCTGATTGAACTTCATTCTTCAAGTAAGACAATTTTAATGATATTGCACTAGCAAAGATGGCACTGTGAAGTGCCATCTTTGCTGTGTTACAGTCACAAACATGTAGAAATTAGATTGTTATATAAATTATACTCTTGGTGAAAACTGAAGAATGAATCTGCCAAAATGTGACAACAACAATAAAAATACAAAGAGCTTTAGTTGTCAAAAAGATTTATAAATTAATTTTTATTTTTATCATTTCTGTCAGTCATTAATGAAGCAATTTATCATTATTTGTTATTTTTCATCATCATCGTTATTTTTTTTTTAATATATTTTCCATGAATAATAATACATTTTTAATTTCTTCTTTTGCAGCGAAATTGATTTTTCCACACTCTACAAGAAAGCCTCTAAAAAGCTTACCAGACTTGCAAAAAAGGCCAGGAAACGCCTACAGAAGTGGTAATTGTTTTCTCTTTGTTTTAATACTGTCCCAGTCTTATCATGAGAGTAATCACAACTGTAGTTAATACTTTGATATTGACATATTGTGGAAACAATATATTTTTTGGCATGAAACATTTTAAAATCCCTCTTGAACAGCTGACATCTTTGAAGCTCTGTTTGGTGAAATGTCTCCTATGGTGACCATGCTATCGAGACAGATCTATTAAAAAGAATTATTTTTTAAATTCTGGGAAATTTTGAAGCCATTTTCTATTCTGCTTTAATATTTTCACAGCATATAATTACAAGGTCTGTTCAAAAAGTATTGTAGCGATGAAAATCATTTTTACCATCCGATAAAGCACCCACATGTTATCTGACCAGTCAGGAGTTTCTTGTGTGCCTATATAAAACACCTCAATTGAGAACCTGGAGAACATTTCTGAATGCTTGTTTTTTTTTTTGGTTAGTGGGGGTAGTCCACCCAATATAAGGCAAAAGAGCCACTCAAGATAGAGGGTTATGGTATAATTATGGGTATAACAGAAGGCAAGAAGTACAGTTTATGAGATTATGTAAGAAAGATAACAGTTAAACCTAGACTAGAAGAGATTAAGATTGTAATGACAGGGAAGACATCCTCTCAGAAGTTTGTTCCACAAAGCAGCAGTTCTTGGGAAGAAGCTGTCAAAGTGAAACTTCCTTCTTACGACAGAAGGTCATTGGGTTACATCAGACCTGATGTACGGCATTTCATGGTTATGGCGCCATCTCCAATACGTTGTCACACAACACCATATGATGAAGACAGCATTGTTTCTTCACCAGCTGCCATATTGGATTGTGCTACATTCGCTCTCTCTCATTTGTGTTGTTTTTTTTGGTAACTTTTTGCCCTTTCTTATGGCTCCCAAGTGTAAGGCAAGCTCATGGGTGAGTTCCGACCTATGTTAAAAATCAGGTTATGTCATGCCGTAGGAACAGATCTCTGACAAAAGCTGAGGACACCCTGTAATGAAACATGAAAGTAATGGTTCATCCCCCTGTCTGTAGCATGGCATTTCTCAGCTGCAAATGTCAGGACTGGTAGACTGTTGTTGGCAACTGTTTGGTGTATTTGGTGGCAACATAGTGACCACTAGTTTTAACCATTGGTGACCTTGCATGAATTTTTCCAATTACAAGTATCTGGCTGTTTAACACTTAAATGGCAAACATCATCACTAGATGTCTCATTGGAGATCATCAATAATGGCATACCCAAGTTTCCAGAACAAGTTCTATAAAGGCAGGTAATCTTTAGTAACATTCTGCTTATTTTCTTTTCACTCTAAGAATGGAAACAAATCGCTTTATAATATCAAAAAAATTAAAATCATTTTATAATTTAATAGAAAACATTTATTTATTAAGATATTTCCAGATTGCAATTCTGCTCTCTTCATATTTCTGTTCAGAAGTCTGATGCTTTTTGACTCTAGTGTCATCAGATGTGTTATGGTTTCTTAGCCACATTCAAACTAAATCGCTGCAGTCCCAAAAATACAATAGAAGACCTATAAAATTTATGACTAGAAGATTTGTCACATTTCTAACTTCAAGATGATTTCTTTTGTCAGAATAAATTATGTTCATCACAGAAAACACTCTTTCAGACTCTGCAGATCTTAAAGCAATGATATTAATTTTTAGCTATTATATATCGGCTATTAATATATAAGATTATTTTCAGATAATCTAGCAACCTAATTCACTAAGCTTTTATAATTTTAATAATTGGTTTGTGTGAACCAGTAGGATGCCACCTCTGGATATCATCAATTGATGATTTAAACTTTTTCTAAAGATAAGAATTATTTATGATTCAATTCTAAAAGACTAATTGAAAAGGATTGTATTCATCAGATTGTCACTACACTATAAAAAGGCATCATAATTATTTACAAAATCCATAACTTTTATTCACTCTAATGATTAAAGTGGTACAGCAAATACTAAAAGCAAATAAAGAAATTCATTCGCAATTATTTACTATAAAAATGCATTGCAAATTATTTAGTATAGAAATGCATTAGAATTGTTTATTAAACCCATCAAATTTTGATTCATTCTAATGATTACATATAATGATTTACCAAACATAGCTCAGATGTGGCACAAGGCTTTAAGTATGGAGCATCCAGTGGGGATTAAACTCCCTACTCAGTTGTAATTGATCTAGCAAAACAATCTACTGATTATATATAGAGTGACACAACAACTAGTAAAAGCAGATATAGAAATTCATTGAAAATTATTTTACTAGAGAAATATATTAGAATAAATTATGTTTTAAATATATTTTGGACTTTTTGTAACACTGCCCATTGGCATTACTATTACACTAATACTCTCTACTACTTACCATTAGTCATTTTATGTAATAGTAAATTATATATTTCTAGCAGTAAGAAAAAGTACAATTAGTAGTGATTTTTCACTTAAAATTTGAGAAAGTTTCAAAACTTTGTATGCTAAAGCGGAAATTGGGAAGAAATTTTTTTAGGTGGTCAAGAATAAACACAATTTCTAACAGAAAAGGGTTTTGTCTGTCTTTTTGTAGATATGTTTAATATTCAAAGATCGAATAGCTTATCACATTGAAACACTGGTTCTCATGCAATCACCAAAGTTAAACAACATCTTGTCTGGCTAGTACCTGCATGGGTGACTGCTTAGTAATACCAGGTGCTGTAAGCTCGGATATACAGGGGGTCTAATGAATAATGGATTGGAAATAGAAATCAATCAAAGTTCGAATAGAAAGGTAGCATTCTCAAGGAATATTTTGGACATTTTAGACAGAAAGTTCTGATTGATCTGTATTTTTACTCAGTTTTCAGATTTTATTCTCTTTTGAGTGTTTCCATTTTGAACAGACAATTCTGCTTACAGCATTATACATAATTCATTAAGAAAATTGTGTTGATTTTTTTTTTTTTTTCTGCAAGTTTATTCTTTAGAAAATTGGAATATACATCAGTTTTTACCAATTTTTCCATTTTTTTTTTCATTTCTTTTTTTTGTTTTTTTTTGTTTTTTTTAGTATATTTACTTAAACCTTAAACAGTGGTTATCATCAATTGATATTTCATTGGAGATCAGCGGATATCAGCAATTGATGATTTAATTTTTTCCCAATAATACAATCATTATTTATTCATTATTCAATTCTAAATGACTAATTGGGAAAATCTAGGATTTTTGAGGTTATGTCATTTCTTGGTGTATTTATCTGCAAGTAAATCTGAAAGAAGCCAAAACACTGCTATGTCTCCATGTAAACTTATCTAGGAGAAAAAGAGACAAAAATGATGAAATTTGGTTGCAAAGAATTCATGGCTTCATTGGCTTTCACTGAACCCTTGGGAAAGATGTGAATCTAGCTCTTCTCCCCCCAGCTATGGATTAATTAGTAAGACTTGTATCACTAATTATTTTTTGGTTTTAAATAACCTGCAAAGGGTTAAGATGTAGAAAATCAATCAATCAATCAATAAATATTGCTTCGATATACAGGCATGTTTTTTAGATTTATTTACATTCTCTGGAATACAAATATATAGAAACTACTGTGACCACAAAGTGAAGGATCCGTTTATATAACAAATATAGTATAGAATTGATCCCCCACTTCTAGTTTATCAAATTTTGACTAGGTATCTTTTCCCTCCAGCTATGGGTTAATTTGTAATACATTTATTGCTAAAACCCATTATTATCCTTAAAAAAAAAATCTTACACTCTAAAAATATTTTTTGGTTTTAAATAACCTGTAAAGGGTTGATAAACTATAAAAAATATCAATCTGTTTCCACTGTCTGGCTGAGGGATTGAACTCAGAATTACTATGTCACCAAATTTACAAACCAACACATTAATCCACTAGACCCATTGTCCCATAGAACCAAAATACACCTGATGAAGTCCAGTGTGCACAAGTGCCATAACGCGATAACAAAGATGCGGGTTTGAATGTAAATAGTGTAAATAATGATAAATCCTCATCCCTAAAATTTATACAGAGAGTACCAGACACTTAAAGAATATGAAATATATGAACCTAACTTTTGTTGATTTTTTTTTTCTTTACTTTTATAATCTAAAAGAGTTAAAATTTTTGACGACAGAATGATGGCCTAGTGGATTAAAGCGTTGGTTTGTGAATTAGTGGCATAGTGATTGTGATTTCAATCCCTAGATCAGGCAGAGTGCCAGTGGAAACAGGCACTCAATAACTGAGCAGTAGTAAATAAAAATAAGAACTAGACAATATCCCTAGACATTGGCAGTGAAACTCTCTGTAGGTTATCCAGATTGATATATAGATGTGGAGAAGGTCAGAGGGCAATACTCTGAATATAAATATTATAAATAATAATTTTTATAGTTTTTTTTATATAATTAATCTGAAAATGAGCATAAAAACTTCTTTAAAAATGAATTGTTCTCAAAAGCAGTAATTCAGTAAGCTTCACAAGAGTAACCTTTCGTTTGGCAAAAAGCTAAGCTAGCATTAAAAAAAGCTCCAGATTCCATATTATCCTATTATAATTGTGATTGTTACTCCCTCAGTTTGCACGACCGTTACGCCCTGTCATTGTCTTACAAATAATGGACTATTATATTTTGATTGCATGGAATGAGGGGAAAAGACACTACTTGATTTCAGTGACAAAATAAATGAAGGAAAGAAGGAATGTAAGATAGATGTGTTTAATAATTGTTTCAATGAAATGGAAAATGTTGTCAATTTCAAAACTTTTAATTTGTACCCACTTCTTAAAATAACAATCAGTATAAATATTTATATTTGTTATTGCAGTATTTTCTTAAAGTTGTTAAGCCCAAATATTTAATGATGCAATAGTGGAATTTCTATGGATATTTTATTGTCATAGAACCTACCATGAGCTTATTCAATCATTAACTTAAGAATTAAGATTCATCATAATATTAAAATAGGAAAACTGAAA